TATCGTATGTACGTGTCGTATGTATGAATCATACCCACGGTCTGATATCCTACGGACAACACAAACAGGAGGGGTCCAAAGATCCAAATTATGTTTGTGCCAGAGCTTGTTAGTTTGAAACTCAATAAAGTAGTCTGGTACAATGAAGGTCATCAGAAATGTGCTACTAGTATTGGAGCTTCAGGGAGCAGGATTGGAAATGGTAGACCAAATGTTTCTGTCTGCTTCAAAAGAGACAAATCTGGGAAGCTTGAGACAAATGGTGAATGTTCACATTAGGTAAAATAAGATTGTAGAAGTTAAGTATGAGTCTGAACCATGCTTATGTTTTGGTGTATATATTGATTCAAATGGAAATGGAAAAAGGATTGACCCATTTGATTACACTGGCTCATGACTAGTGACCAGAACAGAACAGGAGAAACTTCATTTACAACCAAAATTGTTTGGGTCAAAAGCCAAAAAAGTAAGAATCAGTTGTTGCATATTATTCTGCAAACTCTATACTATTCCTAACACAATTCATGGCTCTTTTAGATACTTGAAGCACTGCTTGGATGTCTGCCAATCCTAGACCTGTAGGTGCGATTTATGATAATGAACCACCGGTTACAGTCATTGCTGGAGTTCCAGCAAAGAGTTTTCAAAAGCTGCAAGTGCAGAATATTTCTAGGTTGAAGCTTTTGAAGGCACTTACCACTGCACAAGCAGAGACAGTGAAGAAGATTACAAATAAAATTCCTGGTCTCTCCCAGAAATGATTGGAAGAATCTTTCATCTCATCAGAGAAGCAGTTGGGGCTTTTCATGGTGATGCACCAAAACTCATTGATCACCGAGATGTGGACAATCCTTATGAAAGTCACCTTGGAAGTGGATGGAAAGAAGAAATTGGCAAAGTCTGTGTTACTGAGTTGATTAATTAGTACATGTTTGAAGAAGAAGCGTCCTGATAGTTTTGTATTGACCGTAACTTGCTACAAACCCCATCCTTGATATTTTGGAAAAAATAGTACTGCTCTGACAGCATAAATACTAGTAGTATCTGTCAAGGACCAAAAACACTTTGAGTGCCGGCATACCTTTGAGAGTTAGGGGAATATCCTTCTTAGCATCACATGATATCTCCCATGGCACTAATAGACAGGAATATATCTTGCAACAAACCTCATCTATGGTATTTTGGTACAAGTACAATTCTAACACGCAATTCTAACACGATCATATGCACTAATATCTGCCCAGGAACCAAAATCACTGGTGTGAGGGTCATATCTTTATCAAAAATTGGAGTTGGAGGACTATGTTTAGCATCACATACCCCCCATGGCACCAACAGAGAGGGATTTTATCAGGCTTTGGAGCAATCTATTTTAGTCATGGAACAAGAGGCTCCTCACTGGGACAACACCAGCTTTTGAGACGTTTAGGTACTTTTGGGGTAATATTTCTCACTCTCTGTGTGCTAACTGATTTTTGTCATCATTTAGACGTTTAGGTACTTTTGGGGTAATATTTCTCACTCTCTGTGTGCTAACTGATTTTTGTCATCATAATACGAAGTACCGAGATCGTGAAGAAACAATTCATCCAAAAACAGTCTTCCCGCTTCACTGCCATATACTGATGTCAGTCAGCTAGTGCAAGGTGATTCTGACGTGTATGCATAAATATTATAAAGCAGCACAATATGCAAACCTAAAAAAGTCATTGCACTATTCAATTGAGAAAAATGTCTATGATTGTTGCGTAGTTTGTTGTGCTGCCTGGGCACGAATCTGATCGGCGGCCAAGAACACCTTTTGGCAGTTTGCTACTGCTTCGGGACTCATAGCGGATTGAACTTGTTGATACACCTCGGGCTCTCGTTGGAAGGCCCCTTTCAGCGTGTCGTTGAGAAATATGAGTTCGTGGACTTGATCCAGCGGAGACGTAAAATCCTCGTCAATGTCTTCGCTGTCGTCCCAGTCGCCACCCAGCAGGAATTTTGCCATGTCGTCGTCCCACGAGGTCACGCCCGACAACGCCTTTCGGTACGACTCGTCCACCTCGTTTGTAACGTCCTCGTCCTCGCCAAAGCCCTGATCGACGTCTCCTATCGATTCCTCGCTGTCTCCTGAAAAGTTGTTGTCGTCCTGGGTTACTCTGTCGCCGCCCTCGGAATCTTTTTGGAGAGAAATAGTAATGCGGATCAGAGAGTCAATCAGAGCAGGAAGCGATGACTGAATCGGAGCGGGCAAAGTAGCTGCTGGAATGTGGAAAAGAGACGCCAGACCAAGCACAGTAAGCTTCCGGGGAAGCCATCGATCCGTCATGTCTTTCATTTCTGCATCTGCCATCCATTTTTGAAACACCTGTTGTGTCACTTCGCGTTTCTCGAGTTCTGCCAGTTGCAGCTGGGGGTTGTAGTAAAGGGCTGATCCCAGCACTTGGTAAATTGAAATCCGGGTGAGTTGAACATCTGAATTAATTACCTGCCCTAGCTTCCCGAGCACTATCTCGTTGATCGTTGAAATATATCCGTCAACCTTGCCTTGGCAGTTGTGCAAGACGCCCATGAACAAGGACAGGGCGTGTCGACATTCGCTTTCCGATGACCTTTCGTTGGTGACAGTTTTTGCAACCATGCTAACGATCAAGTCGATGTAGGGAACGTTTCCTTCCGGTAGCTGGGCTTGTCCGGCCAAAAACATGTCGGGTGCCTTCTGAATATAAGCCTGTAGACAGGGTACCATCATGTTTAGATAATCGTAAGCCCATTGGTCAAACGCAATGTAAATGAGCGGGAATGCCTGCCACAACTCGGGAGAGATTGTGTCCGGAAAGTACGTAAGGAAGGTCAAGATATCCAGTGCACACTCGAGGTATTCGATGTATTCTCCGTCGTTGCCCATGATTTTTAGCACGAGAGGGATCAGAAGTGGTTCTAGGTTTCTCATCATGGCGGGCTGGTCGCATATTCCCTTGAGAACGGTTGCGATGCACTCGAGGCACTGGGCGGCTGCCATGGCTGCGTCGTCGTCGTCGTCGTCTTCTCCGGCCGTGCAATATTGGTTGAAGGCATTGGTGAGCTGGGTCACCAGTTGGATTGCGTGGGGCTCGATGTGGTCACCGAACTTGTCCAGCAACACCTGCAGCGCACTGACGACCTCGTCGTTGCCGATCTCGTTCATGATGCGGAAGTATTCGGTCAGCAGCTGCGGGAGCACCGGCAGCAGGGTTTCGTCGGCCCCGTCTGCCTCGATCAAAAACCGTAGCGCCTTGCTCGCCTCGATTTGCACCGGCAGGGCGGGATCGCTGAGCCGCTGCAGCATAAACTGCAACAGGGTTCGGAGGTTGGTACCGTCGTCGGACCACTGCACGGTCGAGAACTGCTGCACCATCCAGCACGCGCGATACCGCAGAAATCCCACGGGCGAATTGAAATCCGGAAAGACGTGCGTCACAAGCAACCCCTCGATCTCCTTGGCGTACTTCTCCTTTGCCAGCAGAAACTTCGCTAGGGATCCGAACATGAGCAGGGCTCCGTCCTTTTCGATGTGGTTCTTCGATTCGACGGGTGCCCCGGCGTACCGGTTGAGGATTTCCGTCATTCGACCCAGCAGGCCCTGCGTGACGTCCTGCCCGCGGTGTTTCACGAGGTCCGTGACGAGGGTGATCGCGGACATGCGGGGGTCGTAAAAATCGGCGAGGGGGCTGTTTTGTCGCTGCACAAACTCGTGGGGGTCGTTCTCAAAGACGTCGATGTCGTCCTCCACGAGGAACATGGTGGGGAAGCACACCTGGTAGAGCAAAAAGTCTAGGTGCGGCTTGAGCAGCTTATAGGTCGACGAGAGCTCCACGGCGAGGTCGACGTAGGTCAGGCACAGGTGCACGACACGGTCCGTGCAAAACTGACCACTGGGCCGGAGGTTCAGGGTGGCACAGACGGGCTCTAGAAAGGCCGTAGCGACGTGCTGCGAGAAGTACTGTGCAAAGAGCTTCGAGTCGTCCTCCGCATAGGTTGGGATCCCGTACCTGGAAAAGAGCCGGCTCATGATCTGGACCGCCCACTTTTTGACCTTCCACCAGGGCCAGGCGTTGCGTTCCTCGACCGTCGTTGGTTGGCCCCTGGGTTCCAGACCCGTTCCGCCCTCCGGGAGTTCTTTCTCCAGGGCCGCCCTCAGGATGTCCAGCCACGGTTGCATGGACTGGGGGTTTTGCAGGGCCGGGGAGGGTTCTCCGTTGGCACCACCACCGGGGAGGTAAAACTGCGTGGACGACCAGAATATCTTGAGAATCTGCTTCAGTATCATTGCGCTTTCCAGGGAATTTTCGTCCTTCGAGGAGAGTCTCTGGGCCAGGGGCAGCAAGAGCGGAAAGGACTGCGCGACGATTTCGTTGAGCGGCCCCCGCTGGTCCTTGCTTTTGTATTCGTATCGCTTGCACACCTTTCGGAGCGCCAGGAGCGCGTTGTGGACATGCAGCGCCCTGCTCGGGTCCGTCGCTCCCTGCTGCACCGTTTGCAGCAGGGTCGGGATGAGATCCGGCCATCGCTCGGGAAAGTCGTGGATGACGATCGTGTGCAGGGTTTCCGCCATCAGATCCCGTATGCTCTTTTCGGTTTCGTCCAGCAGGGCCTTGACCAAACCCGGTCGAATGACGCCCTTGTCCTCGTCGTCCAGCAGCGGGGTTTTCTTTCCGTCGGCATCCGAGAGGGGATACCCCGCAAAATTGAGTCGCTCGGCCCAGCATTCTCTGCAAATGTTCTTCAGTTGAATGGAGGCGGCTTGTCGGACCTCGAACTGGACCTGTGGACAGGCACCAACCCAAGACAGCGACGAGGCAGCCGGAAAGAAGAGCAAGAGCAAGACGCGGTTAGCAATAAAGACAAAGAACACAACACAGCAATCGTGAGGTCGACATCGGTGGAAATGAACAATCGATGGCAGATGGCACGAGTCAGGGTGCGTGGTGGAGGTGGAATGCACGGGATGGGTTTTTGCTTTTGTCGTTGCACCTCCCAGCGTCTCATCTCGATCGCGACAGAGCCCATTCTGCTGCCACCAATTTGCTGCCTGCTGCTTTTCATTCCAGTTCTCTCTGCTCCAGCTCAACTCGGCTCCGATTCGGCTTGGCTCCACTCACCTGCTTCTCGGTGGCGATCTGCAATAGCAACGCGGTGGATCCCTTGAGGTGTTTGAGGTTCCGAATGGTTGCTTCCGCCGGGTTTCGAAGGCTGGCGTCGGGGCTGAAGGATTGCTGCAGCACAACGTGCAATTGCTCCACGTCCATCATGTTTGTGTTTGTGTCAATGCTGGTTGCAACGGTATGTTGTGTGTCGCTTCCGTCGTCTCTTCGTCTGTTGTGTTCCGCTGCCTGTTCTCGTCTGGCTCGTCAACAAGGCAGCTCTGCGTATCAACAGAGTATGTGCAACAGAGTATGTGCAACAGAGTATGTGCAACAGAATATGTGCAACAGAGTATGCTCTGGCCTGCTTTGCAAGCAAACGTCGGGCGTTGCTGGCAACTTGTCAACTTCCCTTGCCTGGTATACCTGGTGCGTGTTGCCTTTCTCTCGAGTGCACAACCGGTGAGAAAAAGGTGCGAGTGCGAGTGCGAATATTTGTAGTTGGGAATCCCTGAATGATTCCGAGGCACTGGGGCACAGTAACCGTATTCGTACTCCTACTTTACCGTACCGATAACGATAACGATAGCGATAGGGGAACAATCGACCTGCCAGGTCCATGTACCGTACGGAAATTGCGAGGTTTCGTAGTCGCACGAGTAACTCGTACTTGTACTTGTACTCGTACTCGTACTGGTACTCGTACCTTACTGCTTTCGTTTGCATCGCACCGTCCCTATTTATTCTACCACTCATTCCAAAAAAACCTACTAGGAGGTAGTAATAAAATACTTCTGTGGGCTTGTACGACTAATCGTACTAGTGCTAGCGGATTACGAGTACGAGGAAGACGAATGGTGTTGAGCGAGTCCATTCATTGGGTCATTCCCGTTAGTCTAGAAAGTCTAAATATTGATAGACAGACAGACCAAAAATAGACTTTCTAGTCTCAATTTTTAGACTTTCTGCAAAATTTCGTGTTTTACTTGGTACTCAAAAAGGGCGCCCGCGCGTGTCCATCCAGTCTTAGTCATTTCTGTTGAGATTCCAGATTCCTTAAAAGTAGACGAGCGCCAAAAATTTAGTCCGTTGGGGGCCTGTTTTTAATGATTCCCGTTAAACTAAATGTCCACTTTAGACTTTTAGACATCTAGACTAACGGGAATGACCCATTAAACAACGACGCCTTTCCCCGAAGCATTTTTTTCGCGTTAAATAATCTCTCGAAGTTTGTGATACGGAGAGTGATCGATCGAACTCGCCTCGATCATCCCTGACAAGGAATCCCTCGATGAATGGTAGGAAGGGACGACACACCAAGTAGTTAAGTGCTCCAACTCGTCCTGCTTCGTCGTACGAGTACAGACGGTATGCTATCGCTGTCATACCGTTTTAATGTAGTCTGTCTGTCATCCGTATTGCGAAAACGAGAAATGTTCCTTACTACGAAGTACGAGTACCGTACCGGGCGGCCGGCCGGCCGGTACCTGGTACCGGTATGTACTGGCCGGTAAGTAAAGCACGAGGCTGGGGTGTGAAATATCGCGTCCGATTTATAACAGGTTATGAGTCATAATTTTGCGAGTCATTTTGAATAATCAGCTAAAGCTTTGCTTGCTTGTTAATGCTACCAAAGCACCAATCAGAATTCGAGAATCCATTAGCCAGAAAGGGTTTTCTTTTGTCTTTCCATACATGTGCATATTGTATGTGTTTCTTGCCAGAGAACCTTTTCCGGCTACTACTTGATTTCTCTGCGCACGGAATTTTCCAAAAAACTCATGATTAACACAACCTCCAGCATAGGGACCTGTCACTCCTCCAGTTCAACACTTTAACCACCACTAACAGCACAATTGATATACAGGACCTCTTCATTATAACAAGGACAGGGGGATCTGGAAGTCTCGGATTGATTGACCGAGTGGTTTAAAAGAAACACTAGATCTAAGCAACAGCGAAAATGTTGTCCGTAGGATATCAGACCGTGGGTATGATTCATACATACGACACATACATACGATACGTATCTACGATTCATACACACCATACATATATGACTCAC